CAGGCCTCCCGCTGAGCAGGGAGCCAGATGTGGGGCTCGATCCTGGGACCCCAGGATCATGACCTGAGCCGAAGGCAGATGCTTAACAACTGAGCCACCCGGGTGCCCCAAGATTTTATTGATTTATTTGAGAGAGAGAGAGGGTGCACGTGCGCTCATGAGTGGGGGAGGGGCAGAGGCACAGGGAGAGGGAAAAGCAGACTCCCTGCTGAGCAGGGAGCCCAAGGTGGGGCTCCATCCCAGGACACTGAGACATTGACCTGAGCCAAAGGCAGATGCTTAACTGACTGAGCCACCCAGGTCCCAGGACCCTGGGATCATGACCTGAACCAAAGGCAGACACTTAACCGACTGAGCCACCCAGGCGCCCCTCAATTAGCGGATTATTTTTAAGGTTTATCCATGTTATAGCATGTATCAGTACTTTATTTCTTTCTCTTACCTTTTAAAATTTTCTTACCTTTTAAAAATTTTAGTAAAACATATGTAACATAAAATGTACCATTTTAACCATTTTTAAGTGTACAGTTCAAGGGCGTTAAGTACATTCATACTATTGCACAACCATCCCCCCATCCACCTCCAGAACTTTCTCATCCTCTCAAACTGAAACTCTGTACCTATTAAATAATAATTCCATATCCCTTGGTAATCTCTATTCTACTTTCTGTCTCTATGAATTTGACTACTCTAGGTACCTCATATAAATGGAATCATACAATTGTTGTCCTTTTGCGTCTGGCTTATTTCACTTAGTGTATTGCCTTCAGAGTTCATCCATATTGTAGCTTGTATCAGAATTTCCTTCCTTTTTAAGGCTGAATAATATTCCATTGTATGGATAGACCACTTTGTGTTTATCCATTCTTCAGTTGATGGATATTTGGGTGTTTACATGTTTTGACTATTATGATTAATGCTGCTATTAACATTCATGTACACATTTTTGCATGACCATATATTTTCAATTCTCTTGGGTGGTAGAGACAGGTGGGGCCATAGAGGAATTTGATGAGTAGTCAACACAGCTCAGAGACTAATCATGACCCAGGGAAGGACAATGATCACTGGGACTTTGTGTCTCCTTTGAGGAAAGGGTGAGGATGCTTTCAGTTGTGTAGAGGATAGTTGTGTCTTGTTAAATAAAAGCATAAAGTTGTTACAGTTTTCCTTTGGAAATTTAAGTATAGGTAGAAGGGTATAGAAGGATGCTAAGTAGCCCAGTGGATGAACTGTGCTAGTTACCAAGCTGTCATCTCAGATCCAACTCCCCTTTATAAACCCTACTTCGTGAGAGACAGAATGCTATTTTGTGAGTATAGAACTGTTATTGATACATACAGAGAGTACCAGTCAAATTTCTCAGGCAATGAGTGATCACTTATTACTTTATGTTCAAACTGAATTCTTTGGGCTCTATGATAATGTGACATAATAGAGAAGTAACTATATTTTAAATGGTTACCCATTTTCCAAGCAGAGCTCTTCTTTCTTCAAATACCTACAATAAATAAAAAGAATGGAATGATTTTATATTTCATGGTTCAAAATACCCATTATAAGAAAGATATCATTAAACTATCAATAAATAAAAATTGACAGTCTTTCATTATACGAATCAAGTATAAAAAGACAGATTTCATTCCTGAGAGGGTACTTTACTTATTTTTAACTTGGAGATGATATCGTTTTTCTCAGTTTATCCATGTGGAATAACTCATCTTAAAGAAAAAGCAATGCTTTTTTTAAAGGAAAGAATAAGAAAAGAATGGAATGGCAAAGTGAAACCAATTTTGGAATTTGAAAGGAGATGAAAAAACGGACAAAGGAAAAACAGGAAAGTGGGGATCCTCCCCCAAATATCAATAGTATGAGAGCCTGTGAAATTTATGAATGAGCAGCTCTGTTTTTTATATTTCGGTGTGTACACATATCATGGGTGTACATGCGCTGATATGTTTGTAGGATTAGAAATTTGTGTATGTGTACCTCTGGGCTTACAACTCAGTGTTTATCTGGATAGGCTTGTTATTATATACTAGTTAGCACAGACACCATGTCATTGTTACATCTCTACTGTAGAGTACATAGCATATTACAGGTATGCCTGTTTGCTGGATTGAATGAATCGGTTGTGATAAGGAATATCCTTACGGATGTATCGGTACAATGTGAGTGGATTTCTGTATTAGTGTAGAGATGTTTTTCTGAGCCTCAGTCATATGTGTATTTGAATGAATGAGGAAAGGAGACTGATGGGAGAATGTTTGGCAGAGGAGGGAGTTATGGAGAGAGGAAGCAAGGGAGAGTCATGGACAGATGCGAATGTCTCTCTCAATCCCACACTCAGCCCCTCTTGTCAGCTTTCAAAATTGGGATTGATGTTTTTCCCTTCCTTTTAGCGCTGCCTAAATTCTCTAGCGCTGTAAGAATGTTCCCACTTGGAGACTAGCTAAGGCTCATTTCTTCCCTTTTTATGGAGGAGGAGCTGGTTTTATGCTTCTTTTTTTTTTTTTTTAAGATTTTATTTATTTATTTGACAGAGAGAGAGACAGCGAGAGAGGGAACACAAGCAGGGGGAGGGGAGAGGGAGAAGCAGGCTTCCCACGGAGCAGAGAGCCCGATGTGGGGCTCGATCCCAGGACCCCAGGATCATGACCTGAGCCAAAGGCAGACGCTTAACGACTGAGCCACCCAGGCGCCCCTGGTTTTATGCTTCCAACAAGATAATGCTTTCCTTCCTTTTTTAGGCTCTCAAATGCTAGTTTGAAAGGGCATACAAAAGGGGGTTTGAAATAATTGGTTCAACAACAATCTCAAGGCCAGTGAAACATCAGTTTTGTTCCTGGCCATAGAATCTCCTACATTACAGGTAGACACTTTTCTCACATTAGAGAAGAAGGAAAAGGATGCCCTTCTCCCCTGCCCCCTATTAACCTTCACCTGGGCTATTAGGACCCTCAAATAATGGCACAGATAAACGTGGGATTTCTGGATGAAAATAGAAGAGAACTTATAGAATATAGAAGATTTAAAAATGTGGATTCAGATATTTCCTGAACTCTTGCCCTCTGTCTAACCAAAGCCTATCAATCATCTGTTGGTCAATCCAAGTCACCAGCACCAGCACTTCTCAGATGCCCAGGGGATCTAGCTCCTCCCAACTCATATTCCAGTTATAGCCCACGCTCCACGTGGGCTTTATAGGGTTTGCTATGGCTCTCTCATTGTCTCTGGTCATTTCATCTTCCCATGTGGATTACAACCACTTTCTCTATAATCTGTCTAGGTTGCAAGGCAGGCCCTCAATAAACACCTGCTGATTGAACAACAACAAAAAAGTTTCAAAAGTCATAGCATTTTAGAGCTAAAAGGAACCCCTAAGATCTTTTGAATTTCCTTATTTTAGAGAGGACAAGAAGAGGACCAAAGGCTTACATTTAAAAATTTTTAAAAATCACTGGTTCCAGGCTGTCTGTTCAGCTCAACTCTGTACTGGGTTCCTCACTAGAACCATGGTCTTCCCTAACCTGACTTCCAGCCATACATTTGCAATAACTGTTGGGGGAAGAAGAAAATGTTAGGTCCCAAGACCACAACCTCTTTTTAAAAGGAGGATGAGATGACCATCATGGCGCCCAGTGACAATATGGGGCATTGGAAACAAAGGGGCATTGACTTGAAGAGGAGAGGAATTTTAGCGAGAAGGTAGCAGGAAAGGAATGGGGTGGGAGGTGGGGAGTGTCACTCAGGCAAAAACAGTAGTTTTTTGTTTTGTTTTTTTTTTGGAGGGTGGGGAGGGGCAGAGGCAGAGGGAGAGAGAGAATCTTAAGCAGACTCCACGCCCAGTGCAGAGCCCAATGTGGGGCTAGATCTCACAGGCCTGAGACCATGACCTGAGCTGAAATCAAGTCAGATGCTTAACCAACTAAGCCACCCAGGAGTCCCTAAAACAATAGTCTTTAGAAGGCCAATGACCAAGTCTAAGCAGGTCCAAGCAAATCCAGTTCTTACAAAGGCCACTAAACCCAAGTAGAAACTGATGGGAGTGAGGGGGGAGAGGAAAACCAATAGACAAGCTCAGATCTGGTTCTGACTCTACCCTTGTAAGAAAGAGAATTTGGGACACATTATTTGTCAGGGTCTCAGTCAGTCTTATATTTTCTGGTTTGGAGCAAGTCTTCATTCCAAAGATTTGCAATCAGGTTTGTCATCTTAAAGAGCTGGAAAACAAAGTATTGATTCAAAATAGAAATATAAAATGGATCTTCTTTCCTCGCAGAGCACTGCAGTTTGTTTATATCACAGTTTACTTGGAGCCTGCTGTTAAGTCAAAATCCTACGGTTGTTATTTTAGTCTGTTGACAGTGCAGTTACATATTTCACCATGTGACATCATTACAGTGTACGAGTGAGACATTTAGGGGCTCCTAAATTATGATTGATTAATGGCAACAAGGTGCTTTTTCTCAGAACACCTTTTAACATGTATTGTACTATATCTCGAAAAAGAAATGTTGGTTACTTTCAATTAAAACACTAGATGGCAGGTGTGCCTGGGTGGCTCAGTTGGTTAAGCGTCTGCCTTTGGCTCAGGTTATGATCCCAGGGTCCTGGGCCAGAGCCCCATGTCGGGCTCCCTGCTCCTTGGGGAGTCTGCTTCTCCCTCTCTGCCTGCCCCTCCCTCTGCTTGTGCTCTCTCTCTCTCTGTGTGTCAAATAAATAAATAAAATCTTAAAAAAGTAAATAAAACACTAGATGGCAAAGAAATGCATACTTTAAAAACATTCTTCCTCTCAAAATTCATAATGCCCAAGTTATTTTGAAATCTGTTACATTTGCCTATGCTGATCGTGCTCTCTTTGAAGACATCTGAATTTGAATTCAATCTCTCTGCTTCAAGTCTGCTGTGAAGTTCAATTCCTGTACACCGATGAGCACCGAGTGTTGTATGGAGGTATTGAATCACGACATTGTACACCTGAAACTAATATGACACTGTATGTTAACTAACTAGAATTTAAGTGAAAACTTAAAAAAAAAATCCTGTGACCCTTTTTAAGACTGAAATAGTTACATATTTTCTATTTTACTATAGAATTGAAGACAAAAATAAAACAGACAACAGAACCTCAAAATTATACCAATCATTGGTGACACATGCCCTATTTAGAAGTATAGAAAAAACCTTGAAATTATTGTATGGAGTCCTTCTGACCAGCTATATCCTTGGTGTCTATTTTTAATGTCTTTTACACAGTCAGAATGTTAGATCTGGAAGCAACCTCTGAGGTAATCTGATCCAACATACTTATTTTATAAAGGAGGATGGTAAAGCCCAGAGAAAGTAGGTGACTTACTCAAGTCATACAGGAAATTATCATTGATCTGGAACCAGAATTTTCAATTCCCAGAATTATTGTTCTCTCTCTAATTTATATTGTTTTTAGATTGTTTTCGAATTTGGAATTTTAGAAATTGTATTGCACTATGTAAAGTAAAAAATGAAAGCTTTCTTCTAACAGGACCACCTCCCCCAATGCCATCCAACTCTTCTGGGGAAACCACTATTAATAGTTTGGTATTGGGGCACCTGGCTGGCTCAGTCAGTAGAGCATGTGATTCTTGATCTCAGGGTTGTGAGCTCAAGCCTCACATTGGGTGTAGAGATTACTTAAAAAAAATAGTTTGGTATACCTGTATACAAATTTTATGTGTATCTATGTACATTTATACATATACATACATGTATATACACATGCACAGATTTTAAAAAAATAGTTTTACTCCAAACTGGAACCTAATGAAACCACAAAATAACTTTTTGATAAAAAATGAGAGGTCTAGGAGCACCTGGGTGGCTCAGTTGGTTAAACATCCGACTCTTGATTTCAGCTCAGGTCATGATCTTGGGGTTGTGGGATCACGCCCTGGGTGAGGCTCCTCGCTCAGCCGAGAGCCTGCTTAAGATTCCCTCTCTCCCTCTCTCTCTGCACCCCCCTCAAACCAATAAATCTTTTTAAAAAATGAGAGGTCTAAAGAACAAAATAAATATTATCTCTAGAAATTATCATTTCGAGACAAAAGCTATTAAAAAACCAAGATAAGACAATGTAATGCTGGCTGTGATGCACTGTCCAGGATTTATTCACCCACTTGGTGGGGAGTGCTGCTGGCTGTCGGCCATAAGCTTGAGAGCTCGGCTTTGTTCGAGGTCAAGCCCTTCATGGGGCAGCTAGCATCTACTGAACGGTCAGTGTAGAAGTATATTTTCTATTATTTATTTATTTATTTATTTATTTAAGTATTACACCCAACGTGGGGTTCAAACTCACAACCCTGAGATCAAGAGTCAGATGTTCCACCAACTAAGCCAGCCAGGCGCCCCCAGTGTGGAAGTATAAAGGCTGGTGGCTACAGGGCCAGGCCTCAAAACCCGTGGCCTTTTCTCCCTTCCCCTCCTCTCCTCCCCTCACCCACTTCTCCCTTCTTTCCCTTCCCTTCCCTCGTGCCAATCCAGAGAGCCCTCCACAATCGATGCCCTACATGCTAATCTCAGAGTCTGCTTCTCTAGTAAACCAACCTGCAACAGGCAATCAAGATACTTTTTTTTCTCCCTAGCTGCTAAATCGATCAAGACTTCGAATTTTTCAAAGAAAATCTCTGAAATCAAGGCATCCAACAAATAGGTATTTCAATTCAAGTCACTTTTTTGCATATGTGTAGAGCCTTCACAATTCTAGGAGAAAACAGATTTCAAAACTAAACACCGAAGTTTTTTTTAGGGGGAGGGGGGCAAAGCAGAGAAGCTGTTATATAAACTGTTGGAGTGCCAAGAACACTTACAAACAGGTGCTCAATAAACAGTTGTTGAGCTGAATATAAAGGGCTTTCAACAGACTTGGTTGTGTTCAGGGCCAGATGAAGGCCAGACGTCTGTCTCTCATTCTCTGCCTTTCCTTTTGTTTCTCCTGGCCCCTCCTCTTATTCTATGTCTCATTCTTCTTTCCTCACTTCTTTTATCTTTTCCTTTTCAATCTCTCTCCCTTTTATTTCTCACTATTCTGATCGCTACACTCGCTGCTCTCTCTCTCCCAAGATTGCTTTGTTTCACATCAGAGGAGTAGAACAGGAAAGTACTGAACAGGAGGGGTAGGGACTGATGCTCTTGTTTTCCCAGGGTGATTAGCATATCTGTTCGGTGTAGAGGCAAAGGGTCAAATCCAGACTAAGAAGGAGGGATGGAGGGACTAGAAGAGGAGCCTCAGTGAAGGAGGTCCCAGGGAGGGTGGCTGAACCCTGACTCTATCTTTTGTGCCTCAGGAACTCTATCAGGCACTGGAAATATAGAGAGAAGAGACAGAATCTCAACTCTTAACACATTACAGTCGAGGGGGAAAGTGGGTAAACAGTGATGAGAGCAAAGAGAAGCAAGCCGGAGAAGGCTTTCCAAAGAAAATGACATTTGAGTTAGCTCTTAGGGGAGGCAACAAGGGGAACAAAGGAGTGGAGGTGTGAGAGATTATGGCTCATCTGGAGGCCACTTAGTTGTTCCGGACCTAGGATGGGAGGAAAGCAGTGGCAGGGTTTGGAATTGAAAGGCTGGCTGAGGTCAACTTACAAAAGGTCCCCTGTGCTAGGTGTAGAGGTTTGGAATTTACTCTTTGGAGCAGAGTCTGTTATCAATTTCTCATGAAAGGATTAGCTTGGTATTTTATTTTTTTATTCTATTTCTTCTTCTTTTTTTAGTTTGGTATTTTAGAAAAATCACTCTGGGACCAGAATAGAAGATGGACTGGTAGGGATAGAGGCAGTGAAACCAGTTAGGGGTTACAGCGGTGCATCGGGCAAAGGGTAATGATGGTGTGAACCGATAATGTGAAGCTGGAGGCATATAGATGAATGAAGGAAAGGGGCCCAGATGAAGAGGAAGACTTCTAGAACTTGAAAATGAACTGGATGTGGAAGTGAGGGGGTGCTGGTAGACACACCTTCCTGAGCCTCCTTCTCATACTCCTAAATGTCTTGGAATGCCAAGAGTGCTAGGTGTCCATTGCTTTTTCCTTGGGCCATTTCTTGCCTTGAAGCAAGGCAACCTTGGGTAATGAGGTACTATCTCCCTTTGGGACCAAGAGCAGGCTCTTACTGCTTACTATAAAAGCAAAGGATTCCCTGTGCTCACTGTTCCTCAGTTGTGATGCAAACCCATGGTGTATGTAGTATTTTTCTGGGCCTTCTGGAGTCTTGTGGGACAAGGTAGGCAAAGAGGACCAATGCAAATATGATGCTCCTGCCGCTTGCTGCACGGTGAGTAACAAAGATTTTTGTCTCTGATTCAAGAATCTTGTGTTTTCCTATGAAACAGTAGTGTCTCCTATGCCATAAGTAACAGGCTAAGTTATTAGCTTGTAAATTGGGGAAAACCAACCCAGAGCTGGCAGGGAGAAGGATAATTTCTGGCTTGAGTGACTTGGTGTCAAGTGGTGCCTTTTACCAGGAGGAGGAACTGGTGTGTAGGAGCAAGATAATGAAGTCAGTCTTATTGATGTTGATTGTTTTTTACTGACAACTAGGTGTGGTCCTTATAATAGGTATTGATAATAGGAGTTCACTGACCTGTTGGTAACTTCTGCTCCCAACTGAAGCAGGAATAGAAATCCCCAGAGGCTAGCCAATCACACCCCAGCATGACACTCAGCTTCCCACCTCTGCGATCCTTTGGTGTATTCTGTTAGTGCTTTCCCAGAATGCAGGTAGGAAATAAACTTCTTAGGAGAAGCTGAGTAATGCGAGTAATCAATTGAGACTTACTCATTTTATTTGGTTAAATGGGAAGCATTATCCAGTAACTGCAACTCTAGCAAGAAAATTTTTTCTGGGAACTCCTCACAGACTACCTTCTCCTCTCTCATTCCTGGTGGTTCCAGCAGAGAACCAGTGATGGAAGAAAAAAGGCATTTGGGATGAGAGAGAGGAGGAGTGACAGTAGAGGAAAGAACAAATCTAAGACATTTTCATCATGGGCAGGGATTCTGTCTATTGCAAGGGCTCAATAAAAGTTTTTGAAAAAATTCTCCATTTGCTTTTTATTATAACCCATTACACAATCCTAAACAATTCCTGTTCATATTTTGATAACTAAGATTTTAATACTTTTTTTTCTTTAAGGCACGGATGCAACTGATAAAATAGCTCTGGTCACTTACCCGGTCATTCAAAAGCTGATGGTTTAGAGGTGTCCAGGTACTCATCTTTGTCTGCATTTTGGGACCATCTATGCTTTTTGGAGGTGCAAATGCCATCATGAAATAACGGACTATTCTTCCATAAGAAAAACCATACCTATCAGAAGAAATGAATCTTATAATCTTCAGAATACTAAAAATACTAACACCATACCATCTTTTAGTACATTGAGATAGAGAATTGGGGGGGCGGGGAGAACATTTACTGGGAGAATTTTACAGGTCAGGCACTTTATACGCATGCTCAATTAAAGCTCATAACAATCTGGTGAGGTAGTGGGTTTTAGCTCATTTTATAGATGAAGAAAATGAGGCTCATTGACATTACACACCCTGCCTAACTTTATACAGACAGTAGGTTGTGGAGCTAGAAATCAGATCAGGTCTATTTAAATCACTCTTAGCTAAGAACATACCCTAATGGCCAGAAAGAAGTCTTTTAATTTATAAAATCACAGTGCAATAGAAAGCACTCCATCCTGGTCCCTTGTGTCTTTCTTCCTCCCCCCTTTGTGATATCTAAGTAACAAGGGTTCTAGCTTGACATCATATTTAAGAAGTAGAATGATGTAATGGACAAAGCCAAGCCTTAGAGATGGACAGATTTGAGTTTACCGGGGGAAATGTGCTGTTTTTAGGTGCCCAGTATAGGTTTACATTCATTTGATTAAAACATTTTAATTTCCATGAAGAATTACTTTCCCCTCATTGTTTAGAATCTGCTGGGTTGGTTAATCAAGGTGGCCTCACCTTCTCCAGCTAAGACCTGGTCATGAGACCAAGCTAGGCCAGTTGGACTGACGCTAGCTCATCCTAAACTTGACAGCTGAGGTGGTTGTTCACAATAGCATCGATGCTCTGTTAAGTTGCTTCTGCTGCCTCACCCCTCAGAAGCCCCTTGTCCTTTCTTGCCCATTTTTTGTGAGCCACCTGATATCCTTGCAGTAAATTTCTTCTTTTCGTTTACTTACATTGCAAATATTACATTTGCTTACATTAAAAAATTACAAAACTTTTTACCTTTATACAGGTTTGATCCTGGCTTTAAAACTTACTAGCTATATAATGTTTTGCAAATTATTCAGTCTATCTGAGCATTCAATCTATCTGCATCTACCTTCAACCACTGTTTCAAAGATAGGAGAAAATGGGTCCAGCAGAGTGCCTGACAAATGGGCAGTCTCAGTAACTAGTAACTTTCCTGCAGTCTTTCTTAGAACTTTACAGAGTGCCTCAAAACTTATCAGAGGAGGGCACCTGGGTAGTTCAGTTGGTTGAGCATCTGCCTTCAGCTCAGGTCATGATCTCAGGGTCAAGCTCCCTGCTCAGTGGAGAGTCTGCTTCTCTCTCCTTCTACCCCTCTCTCTGCTCATGCTCTCTCTCTCTCAAATAAATAAATAAAATTGTAAAAAAACTATTAGAGGGCCATAGCAAAATATTTTAAGGTGGAAAACATTTAAAGCAGATTTGAGGATAGTTTCAATATTACATCCTCAGAGTTTCTGCTTGCTTCTGCCTTCCTTCCTCTCTGAAGGTGGGTTTCATATCAGAAGGTGGTAATGGTGACTGAGAGAGCCAGGGCTTGCCTGCATGATCTCTGGGCTCCAAAAATTACTCTACAGAAGCAAAGATTGGACAATAAAAAAAAAAAACCACATTACTTTTTGGCTGATATGGGATTCCCCCAAAAGCTAGATCTGAAATCTTTGAGGCTCTCTCTTGACAGGTAATATTCGCTCTCAGGTTTGAGTTATAGCTGAAGATAAAGCCAATGTCTGAAAACCACAGGGGCATCATTACACAATCCTTCTTGGTAGTTGCCTACTGCCACCAAACCACTGGTATAAAGTGGACTCACATCAGCACTCACGTTCTTCCCAACCTCTAACACCTAAGTATCTGAGTCACACATGTTTAGCCAAATTGCAAAAGGTATAAGAAATTATTTCATTACAGTATTATTAATTGGCAGCTATAAAAGTACGTGTGAGTGGGCAAATTATAGATACAAAGCATGGTCTCTGAGCCTAGATCTGCCCAGTTAAAAATCATGTTATTTCTTTTTTTTTTTATTGTTCTTATTTACGTCTGATCTTTCCTCTCTTTAAACCAGTTGTTGTTTTTAATCTTTTTTTTTTTGAGGGCCATAAAACTCTTTGAGAACATGATGAAAGCTATGAATCCTTTCCCTACAAAACTGCACATGAACATAAAATTTTGCTTACCCCAGGTGAAAAACTCCCGCTATAAGCTGAGAACTTTCTAGTTTGTGGAGAAAACAAGCTAGGCACAATTTCTGAATTAAGACAAAGTAGCTTCTCTTGGGCTTTCCTAAGGCCCTGCACTGGATGTTTTCTTTTTCCTGGTTCCTAACAGTTAGAAATTATTTGAATTAGACTTTCTTCAATCAGCTTGGTTTTCAGGGGTGGGGCTGGCCAAGAGAAACAGCCCTCTTGGTAATACAGTCCTGCTGAAGCATTCAAATGCGGTTGTCCTGCCCTTGCTTTCGTCATTATCCTTTTGTGGTTTTTTCCTCCTCCTTCCATTCCAGAAGATGGGCACTGTACATATCTGCATGCACACACATGTTCACGGCATAAACACTCAGGACGACTACAAAGACAGACATTTTTATATAACATACACAAGAAAGAACTGTCCCCACTCTGTCAACAAGACAAAGCAAGTTGTCTTCCTCTCCTTCCACATATAAGCTTGCTGTTGTTTTTGGTGTGACCTCTTTCCACCTTAGTGGCTGTCTTTGAATGTTGATCTTTAATTTTTCTCTGAATGAAATGGAAGAAAGGGGTGCCTGGGTGGCTCAGTCGGTTGAGTGTCTGCCTTCGGCCCAGGTCACGATCCCGGGGTCCTGGGATCGAGCCCCGCATCGGGCTCTCTGCTTAGTGGGGGGTCTGGTTCTCCCTCTGCTCCTCACCCCACTCGTGCTCTGTCTCTCATAAATAAATAAAATCTTTAAAAAAAATAAAAAATATTAAAAAAAGAAAAGGAAGAAAGAGCGTCTTTGGCCCTAATCCTCAATGTATGGTTCTAGTTCCACAGCTAGGATGGGTCCTCTGGTAAAGTTTCAATGGTCACAAACCTCCAATCCCATTTTCTGAGCCATTCCTCACACTGCAACCATTATTTGACTTTACTAAGGACCTATTAGTCCTGTGTCAGGGGGTACAAAGATAAGAGTCTCTGCTTTAATAGAGCATGCAGTCTACTGTTAGAGAGGGTTTTTTTTTTGCAAAAAAATGTATATACTTACAGTGTACAACTTAATATTTTGATATATGTATACATTGTGAAATGATTACAATCAAAGTATTTAACACATCCATCACCTCCCATAGTTACCATTTGTGTGTGTGTGTGTGTATGTGTGTATGTGTGGTGAGAACACTTGGGAACTACTCTCTTACTAGTTTTCAAGTATAAAACATATTATTACTAATTATAGTCACCATGCAGGACATTAGATCTCCAGAACTTACTTATCTTATAACTGAAAGTTTGTACCCTTGGATCAATGTCTCCCCATTTCCCTCACCCCACAGCCTCTGGTAACCACCATTCTACTAAGGGAAATATTTTTTAAAAGACCAGTTGAGGGGCACCTGGGTGGTTCAGTGGGTTAAGCCTCTGCCTTTGGCTGATCCCAGGGTCCTGGAATGTAGCCCAAGTTGGGCTCTCTGCTCGGCGGGGTGTCTGCTTCTTCCTCTCCCTCTGCCTGCTGCTTCCCCTGCCTGTGCATGCTCTCTCTCTCTTTCAAATAAATTAATAAAATCTTAAAAGAAAAAAAGACCAGTTGATTGTGTCACTTTTCAGCTCAAAAACATTCAGAGGCTCTCTGATGGCTACAACATAATCAGAGTCCTTAGCATGGAAGTCTAGGTCCACTATGAATTTACCTCCATCTACCTTTTCAGCCTCATCCCCCGCTCTCTCCCTTCATGCACTATCTGCCCAGACACACTGAACTTTGGTACAAAACAACTAGTACAGAACTCTGATGCTTCTTTCCTCATGTGGTTTTCTTACATTGCTCACGTGAATCCTAATCCCACTACTACATAATTGGTGCTCAAATATTTGTCAAATCAACTGAATGAATGAATACAATAGTGGAGAAGAAGCAGTTTAAAGATTAAAACTAATAGAAATGTAGGATAAAACTCACAACATTATGAATTGAGCACTGGAATTAAACTCAGGACTATCGGGTTTTTATTTGGAATTTACAGAGCAGAATAGGATTGAGTTTCTCTGCCAACACACATTGTACATTGCAGTATCATCAGAGAAGGAAATGATATCATCATGAAACAAGGTATGGTTAGATTTAAATACAAATTCATCTTATATTCAACTAGTTAGAAACAAAGCAAAAGCTACACTAAAGACAAAGAGCTAGTGTTTGATAGGCACAGAAATAAATTGTTGTTGTTAATTTCGTAAGTATGAAGCATCTGGCACTTTAACTGCCCTTGAAACGGAGCAAAATGTAATCCCCAGGAGCACTAACAAGGTTTCCGAGAGGCCCAGGAGGATCTCAGAGTGGAGCTCTGAAAAGAGTCTCCATCCTTCTCATGCACTGCCCACTGCTCTCACCTCTTTCAGCTCACCTCCCTCTTCAAGCCTCAAGCGCTGGTGTTGCCATGGCAGCCTTTTCTTTGCCTCTGTCCAGCCCCCACCCTTCTTCCAGTAATCCAATCACCACCTATAAATCCTTTCGCTGGCATCCGGGGTCTCTTAGGCAACAATGTGTGGTCTCTTGATTGGTCAAGAGGTTCGGGAGGGCTGGCTCCAAAATTCGGCACACGGATAATATTAAAAAGCCCGAGCGCCAAGAGGGTGGAAGGGGCTGCAATCTCCCAATATTACGCTGGGAGAAAGATGTGTCCAATCCTAACACAAGCAGCACTGACAGGCACTCAAGACATATTTGTGTTCCAACTGAGGGCAACCTACTGAGCATGCCCAATTATAGTTCTCTGGTCATTCCGGGGCTCCGAAATGTAAACTCCACTTTTCCGGGTTTTAAGAGTGGCCAACAGGTAAAACGGGGTAGGAGGAAAAAGAACATGCCACTGGTTCAATGGAAGAATAGCACCTGCAACCGGAAGTGGAAGGACGTGGGAAAATTGCCCAACACACAAACTCACAAATGATTCAACATGAATTTCAACGGGAATTCAGGCTGACTGACAGATACACCAGGGAACCAGCAGATGGCATGGCTTAATAAGAATAACTACAAATTTGGAAAATTTTACAGTCCGGTCTAATTTAATTAAATTTCTTGAGCACCCACCATGTAATAAGGGGCAGAGTGAGAACACAAGGATAAAAAAGATCTAATGAGAAAGACTGGAAAATGCAGTGTGTAAATAACAAATATAAGGCCCACATTGATAACTGTTGTGATAGAACTATAAACACGTGCTGGAGAACAACCAAAAATTCAAAATTCCAGACGGAGCTACTTCGGTAAATACAAAGCAGTTCCTATGGGCAGCAAGTAACAACAAAAAGACAAAACAAAAACCCCCCAAACCTTCACTATCTTATGCTTCCTAAAGTAGGTAAGAATATGCTCTCGTCCAACTTAAACAAATGTAAACCTATGTTTGTATCGTTTCATAGTTTTGAAATAGGCAGCATTTGTATATCTCCAACTTGAAATAGAAGAGTGAAGCTCATAGAGATTGTTGCTTGAGTTAACAAAGGATCTGTAAGTGGCCAAATTGAAATTACAACCTAGGTTGTCTGGGGCGCCTGGGTGGCTCAGTTGGTTAAGCGACTGCCTTCGGCTCAGGTCATGATCCTGGAGTCCCGGGATCGAGTCCCGCATCAGGCTCCTTGCTCGGCAGGGAGTCTGCTTCTCCCTCTGACCCTCCTCCCTCTCATGCTCTCTGTCTCTCATTCTCTCTGTCTCAAATAAATAAAAATAAAAATTAAAAAAAAAAAAAAAGAACCTAGGTTGTCTGAATTCCAGCCTAGTGGTTTTTCCACATGATCAGGTTGTATGTAAATGAATAAACAAAGCCTTTGGTGGGGGGTAGGGGTCTGGGGGAGGCAGTCGACGCAATACTAAATTACCATGTACAGTATTACCAGTTAACATTTATGGTTTCAAAACGGGTTCATCTAGAAAGAGACCAGTTTTAACAACATGCTATGTCTCTCTGTGAAGTTCCCACTCATTAAAAACTTTCTATTGGTGGTTACAACATGGAATGAAAGAGAGATGGGATAAAAGAAACCATTTCACTTTATCCCTGTTGAATTTGCATAATTTTATACCTGAAAATAAGCTCCCTGTCGACTGTCCTCTCAACCAGCACCCTCTGGGCATCTGCTTATCCAGCACCTCATCTGTCTAACTGCAGATGCTCCCTTCCCCTCTGACCTCAATGACATCAGTCAGGCTATGTTCATAGTGAACACACCAGCTCAATGTCTGAAATACTTCAACATTACTTCAAACATAGATAAATTTAGAGACTACATTAAGAAACACCCTTGTATCCCCACCAAAAATTTTAAAAATATTAACATTGTTGCTTCATGTGTGTGATTAACAGTCAGAAGCCCCTTTTGTATACTTTACAGATCTGATTCCCCTCTCTGCCTGTCTAGAGGCAACCACTATCTATGAAATTGGTGTGTAGCCTACTTGTCCATTTTTTATGCTTTTTACATGTAAGCATAAACAATATGGCTAGATGTTTTTAAAGAGATACAATAATTTACGTATCTTGTAGTTCGCTTTTTTTTTTTTTAATATTTTATTTATTTATTTGACAGAGGGAGAGAGACAGTGAGAGAGGGAACACGAGCAGGGGGAGTGGGAGAGGAAGAAGCAGGCCTCCTGCTGAGCAGGCTGGGCTTGATCCTGAGCCTAAGGCAGATGCCTAACAACTGAGCAGGCGTCCCTAGTTCGCTTTTTTCAATGTTATATTTTTGAGATTTAATCATGTTGATACATGCAGTGATAATTTCTACATCACTCTCACCTTCCCATTAGGGGTATGATATGTCCTATGCCTGACAGTTTTCATGGGATGGTGTGTAAATTGCATAAAAATACATTAGCTGCACGTCTTCAGAGGTTCTGCAGGTACAAAGGATCTGGAAATACATGAAGCAAGCACACACAGATTTTCACATACACAATTTGCCTACTCACTCACCCTCAGAAAAGGCAGTGTTGGCTCAACAGGACATACTGACTTGCTTAGAATCAGCTGAAGGATCCGTATTACTTAAAAAAAAAAAAAAACCACAACTATTACTGCTCAAATATTTACTAAGAAAATTGAAATGTCACTTCAGATCTCATTTATTATGCTTTTCCCCATAGCTCACCATCTGATGTTAAACTATATTTATGACTGTCTAAGCTCAATACTCATTATTTATTTATTTAACACTTGAGTGCCTTTTAAAAATTGTGGTAAAATACACTTCACATAAAATTTACCATTTTAACCATTGTTTAAGTGTACAGTTGAGTAGTGGCAAGTATATTCACATTGTTGTGCAACAGGATCAATATTACTTTAAGACCCACGTGCTATCAACAGAACAAAATGATGCCTGTGACGTCTAGCTTGCAAAGGGAGGAAAAGGCAGCGAAAGGTAGGTAAAACAGCATAGTAAAAAGGACAGCCTTGGCTTTGAATGAATCCGGACTCCTATTAAAACTCTGAAACAATGCAATCAATATATGTTAAGGAAAACAAAAAAAAGAAAGAAGAAGAAGATAGCAGGAGGGGAAGAGTGAAGGGGGGAAATCGGAGGGGTAGACGAACCATGAGAGACGATGGACTCTGAAAAACAAACTGAGGGTTCTAGAGGGGAGGGGGGTGGGAGGATGGGCTAGCCTGGTGATGGGTATTGAGGAGGGCGCATTTTGCATGGAGCACTGGGTGTTATGCACAAACAATGAATCATGGAACACTACATCTAAAACTAATGATGTAATGTATGGGGATTAACATAACAATAAAAAATTAAAAAAGAAAAAAAAAAGCTGCGTGACTCTGGGTAAGTCATTTAACCTTTCTAAGCGTTCTTTTCCTCGTCTGAAAAATGAGAGATTGGGTTTAGATGATCTTTAAGAACTCTTTCAGCTCTGAAATGATTTATGTAGAAGAGAAGGGAAACATTTTCTACGGAGAAAAAGATGGGGGAATGCTACCAATAACCACAAGCTCCACCTGTGCACTAAGGTGTTGGCCACGCGGATATAAACTGTTCCCAGGCAGCTATCCAGTCTGCTCTGTTGTTTAAGCGTGAAGCTCTGCAACAGGCCAGATGCTTCCTCCTATCTGCACCCAGTGCCACCCTCAACATCTGTAACCTTACTCTTGACAACTCCAATTCCCGGGGGTCCCTAGGTCAGCACACTCGTTCTCAGAACAGGTTTTGGCGGTCTTGCAGTAACAGCATCCCGGGCTTGGGTGATGAGAGTCGCCGCGCTTTCTCAGCAGGGCAGGGAGGGCTTTTGCAAAGAGGACTGAGTGCATTTAAGAAAAACGTTTCCAGAGTTCGAAAGCCCTCCGCCGGAGCAGGACAGTGCAAGGAGTCACCCGAAGCACGAGGTAAAGAACAACCCAGCCCAGAGAGCAGCTACCTCTCAGCGGGGCTCAAAATGGGAGCGTTCGGTCGAGTGTGCGCAGCGCGCCTGCGTCGTGCGTGCGCGCGCGGGCGCGCTCGCTCCCCGGGCCGCGCGCCCCGACGCTCCCGAAAGCTCGCGTTCGCTCCGAGGCGGCGCGCGCTGTTGGTCCTCGCTGGCTCCGTTTACCTGAGAGACCCGTGGCCGCCCCGGGCCGGCGCTGCAGCCCCTTTGGAGCCCGGCCCCGAGGTGTGAGGTGAGCGACGAGGCGTGCGGCTCCCCGTCCGGCTTAGCTGGAAAAGGGCGCGGGCAGTGTGGGGAATGAGGAGGTGCCGCCTCGGCTGCCCGCTCCTCTGCCTAACCCTGTGCTGAGGAGCCACCAGCAGCTCCGGCACCTCCTCCTCCGGGATCGTTATTCTCGTCGCGGCCAAAACAAAAGCCTTCGGCGCCAGGCTGTGGCGGGGTGTCGGAGGGGCTCCTCGGGACCCACGGCGGGCCGAAGGGGTGCGGAGGAGCCGAGTTTGGGGTGCGGGCTGAGGTGGGCAAATGCTCGGGAGATTATTAACCCTCTGCATCCTAAGCCCGCGCTGGGCAACCTGTGCGAGTGTGGACCACGGCTCCCTCTCCGCCACCCCCGGCCCAAACCTTGGGCGGAGGAGGGTGTCTGGGATGGGCGCCCACTCTGTGGGTCGGCGCCGCGGGGGCGCGTGGCGCTCCTCGCTCGCGGGAGCGTGGGTGGAGGACGCGGTGGCAGCGGCGGCGGGGGGGGAGGACAATGCATCTAGGGCTCCGGCGCCTCGGGCGCTTGGGGCCGGCCCGAGACCCACGTTAGAATTGCCCCTTGACTAGATGTTGTTTTAGCATTTGGCCGACCTTTATTTTCAACGCTTAAAAGTTGTCCCCTCCATCCCATCAGTTTCCAAAGTCTGCACTCCCTCCCAAATGCTTCCCCCAGCTGCCCTCTTTTATGCTAATGTGTATTTGCCGTGACGGTACTGCTGGGTAATTAATAGATGGCCTCTCAAATAAAGGTGCTGTAAAAACATTTCAAGACATTTTAACATCTTCCCAGAAGCTCGTTAAATCTCAGGAGTCTTGGAGTTAGGTGCCTCCTTGTAGGAGAAAGAGGGCTTTTTTTTTTCCTTTTCTTTCTTTCTTTTTTTTTTTTTTAGAACAAAAGCGCATGCCATTAATTTAGGTATGGGATAGATTTGAAGTTGAAAAGTATCTACCCAATAAAGGAGGTCCAATTTTTTGCCCAGAATTAAAATGAAATTTTGAATTTTGGTTCCTTTCTGAATTTGGGCAGATGCAGCATCAGAGCAGACCAACAGCTATAAAAATGACTGCTGTATAAAAGTATCCAAACAAAATCTTATTTTATAAAAGTAGTTTTGATAGACTGTAACGTTTATTTGCGGGAATTGGGTTACTTTGCAAAGCCAATACCGCAAGAGCAAGGAAACAAAGACCTGAATGACATGAGGGATGTTACCTCCCTCTTCAACCTTCTTTTAGTCTTCAGTGGTGTGCTGACAGTCTAAGGAATAGATAAATCCTTAGTTCTGTTATTAAGAAGCAAGATAATGCTTCCCATCCATACTTTCAAGCAAATCAATACTCTCTTTTTCCTCCAGGAAAAAAAAAAGGGGTGGGGGCATTTACATGAACTACCAAGCCACAGCATAAGGGTAAAAAGATTCAGAGTTAGGGAAAGTAGGAAAGAGGCGTGAAAGCTTAATGGGTGGGCTTGAAGGGATGGAGTTGAAAATAAAATATTATTAAGATGCAGCCCTTCTCTTACCCTCTTGCCTTTTATTTAGTGAAATGTTCCTCCTCTACCCACCAAATGTTTTGAAACTATCAGGAGAATAAGTAAATAATAAAATCTACCATCCTGCCTTCTCTTTCCTACTATTTTTTTTTTAAAATCTCATCCACTTACTAATACTCTCTACCTCTACACTTCTCCCGAATCTATAACTGTCCCATTAATAGAAGAAATGACTGTTGTCTCTTTCATTCTTTTCCCCATCTTAGCTACTATATTTTTTTGGGCTTTATTTTGTGCTTTGAACATTTAGGTAGATTTTTCTTGGGAGTTCCACGATTGAGGTATTTGAAGTAGGGAAGGTTGAGAGGAATTTAATAAAGTGCACATTCTTCCTGTGTATAGTACAGTGTGGAAGGCTTTGTCATTGGGGAAGGAGAAAGGAGTTTTTCACTCATAATAAGTCCTCTGTTTCCCACTTCAGGAAAAATTCTCTTCCCATCTTAAATTTCATATTAGTTTGTTAGTAAAACTATAAGATTGTATACTCAAAAGTAATTCTGAGTATATTAGTTTGTTGATGTTAGGCTTCTGTTGACTTTATTTTCTTTAGGAAATGTGTTAGGAGACAGTTCTTCCATCTTTACCTTTCACAGAGGAGAGTGATGTTGGCCTCATGTTTTATTTATTTATTTTTTAACTCCTAAAACTCTAGAACTGTGGCTGCTTAAACCTGTAGCTGCTGACGAAAAGAGCAATAATGCAAATAAAAAGAATGATTTGGAAAATGTCTGTTGAAGAAATTATTCAATATAGATTTGAGGAAAGAGTAACAACTCTTTACTGGCTAGGAAGGAGTTTTAACTGATGATTGCATCAAATGCTTTTCACTTCATTATCCTGAGAACTATTGACACTTTTGGTGGATCCAAGGAATGAAGTATATAACTAGGCTACTGGGGGCGCCTGGGTGGCTCAGTTGGTTGGGCGGCTGCCTTCGGCTCGGGTCGTGGTCCCAGGGTCCTGGGATCAAGCCCCGCATCGGGCCCCTGCTCGGCAGGGAGCCTGCTTCTCCCTCTCCCTCTGTCTGCCGCTCTGCCTACTTGTGCTCTCTCTCTATCTCTGTTAAATAAATAAATAAAAATCTTAAAAAAAAAAAAAAAACTAGGCTAGTGAGCTTAAAAAAAAAAATCCTGGTTTCTAAATTTTATCTCACTGAAATAATTTTATAGTCAAAGCATACAAACCCTGCTAAGGGAAAAAGTTGGGCTTGATATTAGGGGGTTTTCTGATGAGTAGATCTTAATTGGAAGGGGAAACTGGGCTGGAATTTCAATCAATTTTTTTTTTTAGTTCAGAATCTGGCCATCTTTTAACTTTCCATTTTGTTTTTTTTGAAGATTTTATTTTGTAAAGTAATCCCTACACCCAGCGTGGGGCTCTAACTCACAACTCCAAAATTAAGAGTCACGTGCTCCACCCACTGAGCCAGCAAGATGCCCCATTAACTTTCCATTTTTCTTTTCAGGTTAGTTTTAAAAGATCTTCTGCTTTCTTTAGTCTTAAAAGTAATTTTTAATTTGTAAAATGGACTGGATTTTGATCCAGTCATTGATGCCTATCATTCATTTTAATTTTGAACGTAGATGTGTTTGTTTTTCCTGTTTGGTTTTTTTAAGCCCTATCATCACTCAGCACATTGGATGGTTAGGTTATTTGTGGAAATAGGTAGATGCCCAGATGGACTTTAAAAATTAGAGAGATGAAATAGAGCAGAAAAGAGATCCTCATTCAGAGATTAATAGGAATCTAAGCCCTATGAATTAAATATGAAGCTATATAAACTTAGCAACCAGGAAACAAAATTTTGAGAATGAATTCATTTTTTAAATAATAAGATGTGGAAAACAAAAGGCCAGAGGACACGTGGATTTTAGGAAAAGGAAAGTAATACTTAGCACAGTGAATATGCTCTGAGTGTATATTTTGTTTCTCTTACAATACAGTAATTTCCCTTAGAGGAGAAACTTCGTTATTTAGAGATAGTCATTGTTAATCCTTGCAGTGCATTCTTGGAAAACTGAAAGAAGACAAAGAATATCGCCCCTGTTCCGACTGTAGCCACTGTGTGTGAGGCAGCCTTCGGATAGTATTTCTGAATTGGAGATGCAAAATGTTGTTTATAAGGTGTCAAGAAAATTAAATCTAAACCAAGAATAATGAAATGGATCATTTTCTGTACAAAAAGTATGAATTGGAATAGAATTACTGAACCTAATCTTTTGCAGGACCCTCTTCACAGCCCTCAGGACCTACTTTGTCAGTATTTCTTCAGGATTCAGCCTGCTTTCCTCTTCACAGTTGCCACCTCCTGCTTTTCCCACCTAAGTTCTTTGGGTCTGGTTTCACAGCCAGCCTGGAAAGACAGTCTTCCAAAATTGAATCTCCTACCCCTTTATTGCTGTTGTTCGGGACAAATACTCAGCTTATTTTATTTTATTTTAAGATTTTATTTATTTGTGAGAGAGAGAATGAGAGACAGAGAGCATGAGAGGGAGGAGGGTCAGAGGGAGAAGCAGGCTCCCTGCTGAGCAGGGAGCCCGATGTGGGGACTCGATCCCAGGACTCCAGGATCATGACCTGAGCCGAAGGCAGTCGCTTAACCAACTGAGCCACCCATGCGCCCCTCAGCTTATTTTATTTTAAGGGCTTTTACAATTTAACTGGTAATTAGGGAGTATCAGATTCCTGATATTACACATTTATAAAAATTAGATGTCCTTTTGTTTTCTGATGGAATGATAATCAGGCAACTTAATCAGTTTTCCATGTATCTTACATTGCTCTATGGAGAAGTGAGTGTGCCTCTCTTCCCACAGGTAGGACGTGAACAGCTGTTGCCATATCACTCACTTTTTGATGGCCCCTGGCCCCTGAAGCTGTTTGCTCCAGTTATGTTCACTCAGCAGGTCCCTTTATTTATTTGAGATACGGCAGATTCCGATAATAAACAATATCAGTAAGAATGCCAAAATGACTATTAACCTTTGTTTAATGAGTTGCTATATTTTGGCAGGACCTCTTTGGGTGCAGGATCTTCTCTATTTCCTGCAGGTCTGGAACTTCAACTTACAGCTTTTCCATAGATGACCCTACCTTAGGAAAAATGACTTTTGCTACCCACACAATCCTGTTTAGAAGTGGTATCTCATGTTATTGAAGAGCGATTTGGAATATCTATCAAAAGTTCTTTTAAACTGTGCCTACCATTTGATTCAGCTGATCAGTGATCTGATTTTTTTCAATACTGAAAATCAGTTTTTACTCAAACTAAATTGATCATCACTTTTTTGCTTTTCTTACTGTCTGCAATAGGGCATTAGAGTGTCCCTTGGCTTGTTGCTTAATTAGCAGCCAATAAATCAGTGATTCAACTAGTATTTATTCTTGTTAGCTAGTCCGCACACATTGGGAGGTTTAGCAGAGTTAATTATTCCATACACAGAATAATGTACCGTAGGTTCTTTTATAAAATCTCAGAGCATTTATAATATATTTAAGCAATTGAAATAGTTTTATTCTGTGCATATATTTTTTGACAGAAATGGGATATGTATGCTGTTTAGAAAATTGTTTTAATTTTATTTTTTACTTACTGTATTGTTATGTCTTACCATGTCAGTAAATAGAGATCTTGCTCATCATTTTTAGTGACTATATAATAGTCCACCATGTGGTTGTACCGTAGTTTTTTTTTTTTTAATGAATCCCTTATTGGTAGACTTTTCAGTTATTTCTAGTTTTTTATTTTATAAACAGTGTTACTCTCGCATATTTTGGTTATGCATCATGTGTACTTGTGTGCTTACTTAGAATAAATTATAGATTTGTTGCATCAAATTGTGCAGATTTTAAGGGCTTTTGAAGTAAGTAGCCGTTTTTAAAATACCAAGCGGTTTACAGTAGTATTTCTAATTGTTGGAATGTTGAAAATGTGCTTTTTTCTGCATCCTCTCCCATACTGTGTTCCTTCATTGTTATTTCTGCCTGTCTGATTGGCAAAAATGTTCTCTCATATTTGCATTTTTTTTATTAGTAAAGTCGAATATCTTCGTGTGTTCGTTGGTTATTTGTCATTCATTCATAAATTTATGTCCTTTTCCCATTTTCCTATTAAAGTGTTACTCTTTATCTGCTTTTATTTTTTAAATTTGTTTTAGGTATTACTTTCGCTAAGCATAAAATTATATTTAAATATACCTGTATTCTTTTTTTTTAAAGAATTTATTTATTTATTTGACAGAGAGAGACAGCGAGAGAGGGAACACAAGCAGGGGGAGTGGGAGAGGGAGAAGCAGGCTTCCTGCAGAGCAGGGAGCCTGATGCAGGGCTCAATCCCAGGACCCTGGGACCATGACCTGAGCCGAAGGCAGATGCTTAACCAACTGAGCCACCCAGGCGCCCCTATACCTGTACTCTTTTAAATTACTCTATTTTAGGGTAGAATTTCTCAAAATGTGACTTATGGACCATTTGTAACAGTACCTGAGGTGACTGTTAGAATGTAGTTCATTCTCCAGAGATTCAGATTTCTAGAATTCTAAGGGGAATGAATAAATCTACTACACATTAAAATTAGAGAACCTCTTATTTGGAGGAAATATAAATTGTTTTAATATTTTTACTGCCTTATTTTCTTTTTGTCTTACTGAATTCACTTTTTATTTCAATAATCATAAACTGCAGTCTTAAAATATTAAGATTTTCATCCTACTCCAGCCTAACAATAGATTTTACAGAAGTGTTTTGATATATGGTAATTTGGGTGTTGTATTACATAAAGGAAACTTTTATAAGACAGTGGGAAGCTTCACTTGTACATGAGGCAAAAGGAATAATTTAGAGGAAATCAGGTAAAATAAAGTAGGTAGAAGTATAAGGGGGTGTCCTCTAGTTTTAAAAATCCAATGAGGTATTTCTCATTCTTTCTTTTATATGGCAGTCTTCCTTGAATCCACAAATTTGAAACACCTGTTTGAAAAATTAGTTTAGGGGCACCTGGGTAGAACAGACCGTTGAGCATCTGCCTTCGGCTCAGGTCATGATCTCAGGGTCCTGGGATCAAACCCTGCATTGGGCTCCCTGCTCAGCAGAGAGCCTGCTTCTCTCTCTTCCACTCCCCGTGCTTGTGCACTCTCTCTCTCTGTCAAATAAATAAATAAAATCTTTAAAAAAATTAATCTAAATGAAATTTGAAAAATTCTTTAGTCTAAATGAAATTTGAAAAATTATTGGTATTACTGTGTATATATTCAAAAAAGGAGCAATGTTCTCTTTAGTTTTTTGTTTTTTTGGTTTTTTTTAGTTGCAAGCAGATGAACATGCTGCATAAGCAATAAACTACAAAGACTAAACTTACATGGATATTTTAATACTGTGACCAAATAAAGCTTTCAGTAGTTATTTGACACATATTTAATGATATGCATAATTGTTACATGTTGCACATAATTAAGCTTAAATATAAACGACTGTGTTTACTACCAGTTTTCTATAGCCAGACCTCACATTTCTGGGGCCAGCTTGAAGGAGGAAAAAAATATGGCAGGCCAGAAAGCTGTCGCAAAGATCTCTGACTTAGAGATTTTGCATAGAGAGAATAGTCATTTGGGGCAGGGATTGCTCATAACTTTAGTATTCCTAATTCGTAGTATTCCTAATTCATAGACTTTCCTTTTCCCTTCCAGCACTCAATACCATGTACTAGAGGAAGAAATTAGAAAGATTCAGCCACTGCTTTATTTTCTCCAAGTAATTTTTTCTACTTAGTAACTAAAGCTTGGGATGCAGAGGTCCCAGGCATTGATAGTGAACAAAGAACAGTTTCTTTCCCTGCTTCAGTGAAACCAGTCCAGGTCTCAAGGTCTGAGCCATCATGGGCTTTAGGTTTTAAGTTGTCCTATTAACTTGGGTCTCTGAGAGTTTCTGAACCTGAACTCATGTTTTTCGAACATAGGCTGTCCACAGCAAACACAGAAATAACCAATGTATATAAAACAAAATGAAATTAAATTTAACATCGTTATTAAGCCAAATGAAAGTATGATAGCTTAGTAAATGCTTTTTCCTTCCAGACCTACCTTTCGTTCTGCCCACACCCTCTCAGCCCCAAATAAGATATGTATTCTTGCCCCTGGAAAAGTAGGGGCAAGTCAAAAGAATCTAAAGCTTAGTGGAAACTGTACTGGGAATCATTCCTATTGCTGCTGTGATTTTTTTTTTTTTTTTAGGGATTTTTTTATTCTCTGCAGCCTGGCTGTGCAATGAAACATTTGTTAGTCAAATATTTCTACATCTATGATACTGTTTTTGCACTATCTAAAAAGATGATGTAATGTTGGAAAAATTTCTTGGTAGTGCTTTTAGAACCTTCTATCTGCCAGTTCAGTATTGGTTGATGGAGATAGCCCTTATATAACTAATTTAGTAATAAAATTACCTAATGTTTGATGCTACTTTACCATTTTATAAAGTACTTTTACATATATTATCTCATAATTCACTCAGATAGCATCCTTGTAAGAGAGAGTATTTTCAGGAGGAAAAATTCTGAGTTCAGAGAAGTTAAATGATATGTTTACACTTACACAACTAATAAGGGACTTGAATTCATATCTTTCAATTTATTTATATTTCACTGTTTTCACAGATACCTTCTGCCAAGTCAATTAATGTAAAAATGCACTATTAATGATTAAAACACATATAAATTCAATAGTTTTGGTTATAAATATGGCAGATATTTAAAGATTTTATTTATTTATTTGTCTAGGTATGGCAGATATTTAAATTTAGGACAACAGCATAAGAACTTTTCAAAATGGATCAATTGTATCTTGTGACAAATGAAAACTGCCATTCTAGATAAGAAATTAAGCCATATGTTATATAAACAATTGAAGGAAGAAAATTTGCCTTTAAATTCTGGTTAAGGATTGTTTTAGTATATCTGTAGCATAAATGATAAAGTCGAAAAACTATACTATGTCTCTGAAATACCCATGTATTTTATCAGTATGTCAGTATGATATCTCTCATCAAAGATTGTTTTCTTTATTTCTCTTTCTCATAGTTCGTTGTTGGTGTACGGAAACACAACTGATTTTTGTATATTGTTTTGTATCCTGCAACTTTACGGAACTCATCAAAGACTTTAGTATCAAGACTACAATATTTTGAGAGGAAATTACTGATATCTCCCATTAAAAAAAGTACTTTTCAGATATTTCAGTCAAAGGAAGAAATAGCTCTTCTCCTAAGATGGAATCTGTTGTTTGGGAATGTGGTTGATCAACTTGATATGTTGGCCAAATGTGCCCTATGTAATAAAATGAAAAGAAGAGACAAGATGATGTCATTTTCCCATATTGTGAAACCAAAAACAAATGCCTTTTGTGAGACCAAGCTAACAAACCTCTGACGGTGCAAAGAGTATTTAACTGTTTGAAGAACTTAACAGTAAGATATAGAAGAAATACTTTCAAGCTGAGACCTGCAGGTGTATAAAGATCTAAAATACATATTGAGTAGGCCTGATCATCCAAATCTCATTCAGATCCAGGAAGGATGGCTGTGGGTTGGATCGTCTTCTACTTTTGGCCCTTGACTATGTTTGTGGGACATATAGGTGGGCACAGTTTGTTTTCTTGTGAACCCATTACCTTGAGGATGTGCCAAGATTTGCCTTATAATACTACCTTCATGCCTAATCTTCTGAATCACTATGACCAACAGACAGCAGCTTTAGCAATGGAGGTAAGACTTGATCTATTATTTGACATATCTTAGACGATGATTCTTATATTGTCTTATTAACTAATCTAATGAATGTGTCTGATAAAAAAACCCAGAAGAATGTTATTTTTAACTATATCTTGTACATTAAGAAGTTATATATTTAGGTTCAAGCTCTAATAGATTGAAGAATTGATGTTTGGGGAGTGTTACTCTTGACCTATTTTTAGATATGCTTTTATAAAGAAATATGAAACACTTGGAACATGGGAAATAATAGCCATTCAGAAGTTTAAAATTGTCCACGTTATGATATGATTCCATTTTTTCTGTTTGGCTGTTAATAAAACCTCAGATAAAGAGTAGAATATAATAATAGTCACAGTTCAGTCCTTAACTATTGAAGGTAATGTGATCTTGTAAAATAAGTTCTTTGTTCAGTCTATAGGCTGGTGGTTTATGGTATTTGAATTTTCTTAAAATTTTAAAAAATTTTTCTGGTTTTACCATCACATCAATTTAAGAATTATAACTCCTGATGAACAAAAAGGTTTGGTTGTATAAATTATCTGTTCTTGACCTCTCCAAATTTTATGAAAATGTGTTGCCTTACCTGAATTTTTCTATTGGTAATTCTTCAGGTAACTTTTTAATGATTTTACTTTAGAAACTATGACAAATTAATGAATATAGTTAACAATAGGTTTAAATAAGTATGCATTCATTCCTATAAGGGTTTTAGAATACTGAACAAGGATAATGTGTTTACCAGATAGGAACTAGGAGGCAGCAGGTGGTGGCAATAGGGAGCATAGGCTTTGGAGTTATACAAACCTAGGTTTGAATTCTAGCTCTACCATTTTCTAGCTTTATTACTTTGAGTAAATTATGTGAGCTTTCTTAACATAGTTTCTTTGCTTGTAAAGTGGAGCTAATAATAATTATACAGAGAATTTTTTTTTTTTAGAGATTTTATTTATTTATTTGACAGAGAGAGAGATAGCGAGAGCAGGAACACAAGCAGGGGGAGCGGGAGAGGGAGAAGCAGGCTTCCCGCCGAACAGGGAGCCCGATGTGGGACTCGATCCCAGGACCCTGGGATCATGACCTGAGCCGAAGGCAGACGCTTAACGACTGAGCCACCCAGGCGCCCCAGAGAATGTTTTGTATTTTAGTCTGTAATCTATTGTTATAGTGCTTTCAGCACATTGAAGCCTACATGTTTTGGAAAGCTTCATTTTATGGTAAAACCCAAAGACTCATTACTTCCAACTAGACTACATAAATTTGTCTAGGAAAATTTGTAGAAAGATTATTATTTATAGATTTTGAAATGTGGAGGGCATCTTATGTGTTACAAATATATGAAAATATTACAGAGATTGAACAAAACATTTTCTGCTCTTCTGACTATATAAGGTCTAATGATAGAGAAAGACTTGGTATAGACTATCAGATTAGGTTATGAAAATGGATATTGGTTTAATACATGAATTTGGTTCTGGACATAGTAGTCCTTACTGTGTATTAAACCCATCAATTCTCCTATTAAAAAATTGGAGTAGGAATACCTTTGTTTTTAGTATCATTAAGTCAGTATAACTGCTTTAAAAAGCAAATAGGGTACTAAGATGCAAGTCATCAAGATATTTGAACTGATTTGGGTTCGACTTTTGTCTCTGCTTTGTAGTAGCTTTGGACTTTGAACAAGTCACTTAACAAGTCCCTTAGCCTTGGTTTCTTCATTTGTGAAAAGGCAGTAAATGACAAAAAACCTTGAAGGGCTGTTAGGGTTAAACTTATAAAGTAGCTAGCAAAGTGTATGGCACACAGTAGGTTAACTTCAAATGTTAATTCTATTCCAAATATCATTTCTAAATGATCCTAAAGAGAAAGTGCTAGAAGAATAATGTATTTGTTTCAAGTGACCTTGCATTCCAGGTGTAGGCTCTTGGGACATTCATAATAATGGCATAGTAAGCTATCACTGCCCTCTTCCCAGAGTTGCCTGTGCAGTCTAGATATTTTATTGGCAATAAGGTTGCTTCTGTTTAAATTCCACACATTCTGGGGAGAGCACCAAAGTGGGCAATATCTTCTAAGAGAAAGCTCTAGTTCTTTGAAGTAAATAATGTTGCAGATAGTTGTTTGTTGCATGGTTGTCATATCAAGACACTAACACCACTGACAGAATTGTCAGACGGTTTGAGAGTGTAAAGTTTCTGTAATAGCAAAGGGCATGGAAACTCAGCAGTTTCCACCCTTCCAGAAGGAAGTCAGGATTCTTGGGTTCTTACAAGGGCTCGAATCTGCTGATGATACCCTCTATCTCTGATCTTAGAATGTATCTGTCAGCTTTTACCAGGAGCAAGTAATTGGAGCAATTGAAGCACATTTTTGAGTGTTCACTGTGGGACAGGGTGAATTGAAAGATAATTTCTTAGGGCTAGCATCTTTCTGCTGGCCCGTATTTCAAGTCTGCCTTGGGTTCACTCCTGTACTGATTTGGTGAATCATAATGAGTGCCTGTAATAGAATAGTATATGGCAGTGAGCTAGGATACCACAGAAGAGAGAAAGTACAGAATCTGGGTTATTTCAAATATGATTGTTTACAGTCAGTTTGCTGTTCTTTCATTGTAGGTATAAGATTCTTTGTACTTTCATTGAAATTGGGACATGTTTAAATAAATGGGATAATGTAAGTGTCAAGTCATTAAGTTGGAAAGAAAAGATCTTTGCTAATATGTTTATTATTTCTCTATCTGTCCCTTCTAAAATGTAGTCATCTATACACAAACACACAACTAAATTTTTATGAGTTCTTAACTTGGTATCTTTTCCCCTATCAGTGGCTTTTGATCGAAAAAAACATCTCATTCCTGAGTTTCCTAAACCATTTTGAGCTGTCCAAATTGCTAAGTAAATTTTTGGGAGCTGTCCAGCATGGACAACAAATTGTCAACAAATTGTTAGTAACTGTCTTTACCAACCACACATTATTAGGTATTTGTGACTGCAGTAGTAATGAAAGAGATCTGAACAGCCTTTCCCCCTATACTGGATAGTTAAATACAGTTGAATAGGAAGCAGACAGTTTGGTGAAAAAAGTATTGAAATGGGGATAGGAAATTTGTATTTTGCCGCTAACTAGTTTTGTAACTTCTTTATGTTGGTTTCCTCTAGGAAGTAAATTTTTGTCCCTATCCATTTTATAAGGTTGTTAAGATCAAATGATGTGGAATGCCTGGGTGGCTCAGTTGGTTAAGCGTCTGCTTTCAGCTCAGGTCATGACCCCAGAGTCCTGGGATCAAGCCCCACATTGGGCTCCCTGCTCAAGCAGGGAGCCTGCTTCTCCTTCTCCCTCTGCCTGCCACTCCCCCTGCTTGTGCTCTCTCTGACAAATAAATAAATCTTTTAAAAAAAGGTCAAATGATGTAAATGGTATGTAAATTTAAAAACTTTGAAAAATTAAAGTGCTGTGTGAATGCAAAGCAGTAGTCCTTGTTGCCTATCACCCTGTTTAACTTCAGTTAGTGTGGAACAAGCATTCATCTCTTTATGATGATGATCACTTGTCTACTCTTTTTTTTAAGAACGAGAGAGGGAGCCCACATACTTGAGTCGGAGTCGGACGTGGAGGTGGGCACAGAGAGAGAGAGAGAGAATCTTAAGCAGGCTCCATGCCCAGTGTAGTGCCTGATGCAGGGCCCGATGCCATTACCCTGAGATCATGACCTGAGCCGAAATCAGGAGTCACTTAACTGACCACCAAGGTGCCCCTACTCTTTTTTTTTTTTTTTAAGAAACTAGACTGCTATAGGAGAATCAGAGGAAGAAACTCTTGGGATTGTTTGTGTTTGCCTCCATTTCTTGTTTTCTTTTGTCATCCTCATTAAAGATGTTCTGTAGCATGGAAAGCTGGCAGCGGGTTACATCCTTCAGGGAACACAGAACCTAAAAGCTCAATTTCCTGGTATCTTTTATGATTCATTAAGAACAAAGCACGTTTGAACCAGTCTTCGTGTTATCCAAACTCAAACTGTAACTTAAAAAAAACCCCACCTTTTTATTATAGATAATTTCAGTTTTATAGAACTATAAGAGTATAATGGACACCATATACCCATTACCTATCATCCAGCTTCAAAAATTATCAACTCACAGCTTGTTTTGTTTCATTTATGACTGTACATCCAACTGGGTTACTTTGAAGCAAATCTCAAACACCATAGTTTCATCTATAAATATTTCTGTATGTATCTCTTAAAAAATAAGAACTGTTTCAAAATGTCTAAGTATCATCTTTATCACTTCCTCCATACCATCAACTCTCCAGTTAATTCACATTACTCTGATCATTTCACAGTATTTTTATAGTTGGCTTTTCAAATCAGGATTCATATATTACATTGAACTGATATATCTCTTAAGTTTCTTTTAATATATAATTTCTCCTTCCCTTTCTTCTCTCCTTTTTCTCTTGTAATATGTTTGCTCTGTAGTTTCCCATAATCTGTTTTGCTGATTGCATCCCTGTGGTTTTGTTTACCATGTTCCTCTGTCTCCTTTTTTGATTTTTTTAAAGAAAACTTCATAGGCACATAATATCTGGTTGTCACTCTTTATAATTTTGGCATCCATTCATGATCATCTGCTAGATTGATAATATCATTAAAGTTTGGCAAAATTCTGCATTCTTCATTTCTTAGCTGGAATGCTTTTATAAACAGAAATTTCCTGTTATTGACTATTGGGCTACAAAGTTACTCTCATTTACAGTTTATATAAGAAAGACAGGATAAGTACTTGATCATTCTCCTGTATTTATTAGTTTTTAAGATAATGAGTTGATTCTCAAGCATCCTTCAAAGGTGACAAATGAAGTCTTTTTTTTTTTTCCCAAAGTATCATTATAAACTCATAGATTTAACATATTTGATGTTTTTCAGTCCATTGCAGTTATTATTCTTCCTACTGGGGCTCTAACTGTACTGTCTTTGGTAGTAGAAGCCTCTTCAA